TAAGCAAAAAAAAAAAAAAACTTCAAATTTTAGAACATTCCACTTTTCTCCTTCTTAAGCAAAGTGGCTCCACCCAAATTTGTAGCTCATAGTCAAGTAGACATTTATTTAGAGTCAAAAGCTAAGACACCAAAAAGAAAGAAATATCAGGCTATCATGCCATTGAATGAGCATTTAATTTGGAAATAAGAGATTATTTGCACAATAATATTGCTCGTATGTTTTATTCAGCAACCTTCCATCTCATAATATCTTCATACTACAATAATCATTTTAACGCTTTCTCATAAGTAATCAAAGTATGGGGAGTCTACTATGGATATGTAGTTTTTGGTGATTTTTTATGGAGTCTAGGTCATCCAATTGCAAGCAAACATACAACTAGGCATGTTCTAACCTAGTTTGGTTGATTCTCACAAAAGCCCTAGATGGTTGGCTTAGATAGCTAAAAAATTTAGGTTTTGATTTTTCTTAAGTGGGAATGATAGATACAACACAACAACAATAACAACAACAATATCAAGCCTTTATCTCACTATGTGGCATCAGCTACATGAATCCTTTTTCATTCATTGTCCTGTCAAAAGTTGAATTCTCATTTAAATCTAATAAAGAAAGGTCATTTCTAATATTTTCTAACCAAGTCTTTTTAGGTATACAATTACCTTTCTTAACATAAGTCAAATCTAATACATCTATCTTCCTAACCGGTGTTGGGGAGAGATGAGTAAACACCACAATGACGAAATAAGCAAGAAAATAAAAATAGCGGAAAAGTAAAGGACACCAGAATTTAATGTTGAAAAAAACCCAAAATAGGGAAAAAATCACGGAGCCACACCACACCAAGAAATCCACTATGAAAATTGAGAGAAATACATACATATCTCTCTTCTCTCTCACTCTCTCCGTACTTCTCTTCTCATGTGCACCATTCTCAATGTTTACACTCTCAAAATACAAGAGAAAGCTAACTTTAAGGGACGCAACCATTCAGAAAAATGAGAAAGAAAATCGTCCAATCCATCTCGCAGCGCTACGATGCCATTTTGGGGCGCAGCGACGCTCAGGCCTCTGTCTTGCACCACTTCAGCACCGTATTTATACCGTTGCGGCGCTCTTCTCTCTGTCGTTCAGCACTGGGGCGCTTGGGTACGTAGTGCCAATGCATTGTACGGAAAAAAATATGGGGTAAACTCCCTGCATCCCCTAATGTACACCACAAGCTTTGAGATCCGAGACAACAGAATAACCAGAATGATCAACACAATCAGATCATACACATAACAATCGGGTAATCGGAATCCCACCATTTTATGTGACCAAATCATCTAAGACGACTCTCTCTAATCTTACCTTCCACTATAGCTACTCTAACCTTTTCACGTATATGCTTATTTCGAAATACAACACAACACAACACAACACAAAAGAAAATTTTATAAATTAGAACCTTCTATAAAATTTCATCATAACAAAGTACTAGTCTTAGAGAGGATCACCAAACTCTATTTAGTTTGGCCAGCCACCAATATCCAACCAAGAGATTTTTCAACCAATTTCAATAACAAACCAACATTAACTTAATAAACAATACATGAGAGGAAATTTTTAAAATTAAAAAAAAGAGGGGGGTTAGGGGCACTAGTGTAACTAGCTCAACTCCTTCCTCCAATGCATCACTTGGTTGGCCGCTACTCCCATACATAAGCTGATCACTCCAATCCAACTTAGCCATTTAATTGGGTTAATTAAAATGGCTAACACAACACATGAATGCAATCACACTTACAAAGGCACTACTACAACTATCTATGAGACAATACATCACATCCAATGGGTCAGGCCCTTATATTGTAGAAGTAATCAGAGCATCGAGGCCTTGCTAACTCCAAATATGTGAAAGCAAGGAGCAACACAGAAGTTGAAATGCCTTCGACTTAAGGAACTAATCCACATGAGACATTGGGTGACATCCTGAGAGTTTTTTATGCTAAAACTAGTTGTTTAGTAGAAGAAGCATCCACTTGATGCTAAGTGAAAAAATAGTTTCAAAACCCTTCACCAGCAAGGAGATAACTCCAAAGTATAATAGTGCACCAGTAGTCAAATACTATAATAGCATATTAGATATCAATATAGTAGACACAATTTGTTATGATTCAATAATTATTTGATATTTGATCAAATATAAAAATACTTATTACTAGACAATGGTGGTCAGGAGATGATCATGAAGTGATAGTGATCGGGCAATGAAGGTCAAACGCCAACAATCAAGCAATGGCAAATGGATGATGGCGATTGGGCAATGCTGGTCGAAGGATGACGATTATGCAACAACAATCAAGCGACGACGGACAAGAAACAATGGTAGAGTAATTATAGTTTACGATGGTGATTTTTGATCATTAGACAAAGCTCTGAAATTCTTCATATTATTAATAAGCTCTCGAATTTCATGTCATCATAATGTGAAGAATGTGGGTCTACTTATAATTTCTTATAGTATCATGTTAATAACTTTTACCAAATTCGCCAAACGCTCCAATCTCCAATGAGCTACCTTGTTGATTTTCCCCATTATTGATCGTTTATAAGGCATTTAAATGTCTAAATGACATTAAATGAGTAATCTTGGACTTGGATTTCACTCATCGAGATACTTGTTTTTAATTAAGCACGCAAAATTTAGAGATCGTTTAGTCCTTGAAATAATGTCCTGAAACATCTAATATCCCAAACCTAACCCCCGATCAACAATCAAATAGTCAAAGAAGGAAATATACACAACCAAGAAATCATAGGCCAAAATAACGAAAAAAAAAAGGGACCAAAATAACGAAATTACCTGGCGATTGAGCGTAGTAGGGTCATGCCGAGCCCAAAAGACATCAAGCAGATCCTCATAGCGGCACTGGTTGGGATCGTACTCCAAGCGTACGATCTCCGAGTGGCCAGTCTTTCCCGTGCAAACGTCCTTGTAAGTCGGATTATGAAATTTTCCCTGGCTGTATCCGACCTCTGTCTTCGTCACGCCGGGAACCCTCTGGAAAGCTAGCTCGACGCCCCAGAAGCACCCTGCACCGAACTGCGCCAACTGCTGCCCCGCAGCCGGCACGTCGTTGTCCGGCTCGTAAGCTATCTCCGACGACGAAGCGGCCATTGATGAGATCCCCGCGCTGTTGCCGAACCCAAACCGAAGTTTCCCCAACCAGCTTGTCCAGCTCATTGACGAAGGAATGTTTTGAAGGAGCTCGGGAAGTTGAATACTCCGCAGCACACACGTGACTCGGCACAACTCAGTTAACCAGACATATAACCACAAAAATCTTATCCTTATTTTCTTAATTTTTGTTCTTAATTTCTCCTTAATAGACAAACACTTGACCAATAAATTTTCCCGTTTGATAAAGAGTTAGGCTTGATTTGAGGAGAAATTATTTTATGCGGAGGTCGGATGCAGCCTATGTCCGAAGGCGAATCAGGTGCAATCATATCAGCAGTATCAAGCCGCAATACCGAGCAATATCGAGCCTCGGTACACATGGAAGGTGTGACGTGACGCATTCTGATTGGTTTCCAAATGACGAATTTTTATTGGGTTTGGTGTCCTGATGTTGCTCTACATTCGGGCGCCAGTATAACGGCGCCACGTAGACGCCCGATGACCCGACCCAAACCCGTTGTATTTTTGTAGATTTTGCACGTGTTTTAACTATTTGGGGTCGGCCTGATGTCGTATATATGAATTGGGCGTGAAAAGAAATCGTGTTGCTCGATACCGCTTAGTACATGTTCGGTACCGCTCAGTAGATACTCAGTATCTAGCGATACCTAGCAGTACCGAGCATGTACCCAACGATACCTGGCATTACTGAGCATGTACTGAGCGATACCGAGCATGTACCTAGCGATACCGAGCATGTACTAAGCGGTATCGAGCATGTACCTAGCAATACCTAGCAGTACCGAGCTTGTACTGAGCGGTACCGAGCATGTACCTGCTCGGTACCGAGCATGTACCTAGCGATACCTATCTTTTTTCAGGGTTGGGTAGTCGGGCCGTCATCTTTCAAAAAATGCACGTGCTATATACCCACTTTTCGGCGGGCCGGGCCCGCAATAATGTGGCCGCTACGTGACACCATTTTACTGGCGTCCGAACATAGAGCTACATCAGGACACCCGACCCAATAAAAATTCTCAAATGACATTCGGCGTCCGCACATAATATTTAATCTCATTTGAGACGATTTTTTTACTGTTCTTTAAAATAAAACTTTAAAAAAATTTACTAGAAAACTATTTTAAAGCTTCATTTGAGATAACTTTCTTGCTAATTTTTTATTCTTAAAAATTGTTTTAATAAGCATTAATAAAACGATCTCAAATAAAACCAGGCGGTCTGGACAAGATTAATTTTTATTTTTTCAAATACATTCCAAATTTAAATTAGAAAATGCTATTTTTTTTTAAATCAAATAAATCAGGGAATACTTTTTATGATATATTACATAAAAATACTGTAAAAAAATCTCCTTTGCTTACAAATTAACCGCATATAAATCAAGCGTACAAATCAAAGGGCTTTCCTCAATAAACTTTTTTTATTTTTTTATTTTTTTCTCAATGAACATATCCTGGTCACTAGACTCTGCGTGAAGTCAATAGAGAAGGATCTTCTCAACTCTATTCATCAAAAGAAGGGTTTATGGTTAACCAGTAAAGTTAAGGTCTCTGATGCTGAAACGTCACTATGTTATTTAATATATTACTTATATGATTCAGTATATAATATGCATTAATTTTAGTCGTAGATATTAGAAATTTATTGGGTTATAATCCTTATTATGTGATTTTTAAATATTTTTAGATAAAGATAAGAAAGTTTGATGATGATCTGTGTGCTGACTTCTAGTAGTTTTTTTTTTTATTTTGTAGTCAAATGCTTATTGAGATGAGTTAATTTATTTTAGGTCATGACTATTATACATGTATCATTATGGGCTTGTATTACTTATACATATTGAATAAATATAAAACAAAAGCTATTTCTTTTTCTACTATTTCTATGAAATTTGTTAGTTTGGATTGAATGATTAAATGGTTGTAAATGTAAATATAAAAGATATAATTTTTCCGACTTAAATCTTAGTGCGTGACAATATTTGTTTTGAAATTCATCCACTTGGCCGGCCCAATTTGTATCAAATCTAACAATCTCAAGCTAATAATAAGCATGTTAGAAAAGAAGGAATGATAAAAAAAGGGACAAGAAAGGAAAATAAATCAACAAGAGCAAGCCTTGCATAATTCAACTAGATGACCTCCTAGAAATTCAAGTTCTTCAAAGAAGGCATTGTATGCCAAAATAGAACTTTTGTTTATTCAGTAATCGAGTTTGTTATGGTATAAGACCCCAATTTATAATTACAAAGACAATTGAAACAGCCCCTTCTACCATTATAAAAGTGCTTCCAAATTTGAGAATTGAAAGCAAATTTGTAAATAAAGAATCACACGTGTGTCTTTCTCTCTTCTACCAATTTGTGCGTCTCTCTATCTCTCTCTCTCTTCATGCGCGCGGCTCCCAACTTTAGATTGGCACACACATGCTGAGCACTATTCCTTTCTCTCTCGTTAACATCGCGAGCAGTCTCTGCAATAGCCCGTACGTTGACTATGCTAAATATTTTTTTCTGGAGTCATTATAAGTTCAAATTATAAATCGTCTTCATCATAGCTTTCATATTGTAGTATTTTACTTGCATGAATTTTTTTCATAATTTTTTAACACATGTAAAAATTCTTAAGAAATTAGCAGATATATGTACAAATGAGAATTTTGGGAATGTCATATGTCTTTTTTGCAAACTGATTTCACCAATATTTTTTAAATAAAATATTTATTTTATGAATATTTTTCTATAATTTTTAGGCCCAAAAAAAATGTTATACTAAAAGAAATTGATTAAATTAATTATATAATATTAAATTATTATTTTAATTAAAAATATCCTAATCCACTATTAACATTTATTAAAACCATTTATTTTTCTTCATTCGACCCAAATAGAGACATGGTTTCAGATTCAATGGAGAAAAGAGAAGAGAGAGAAAAGAAAAGTTTGGAATTAGATGTCACGAAGCGATTTTTGTCACTCGGGGCAGTTGGAAGATTTACTCATCTCGCTGTAAGAAACATTTACCCTATTTTTTATTTCAAAGATTTTGTATTTTTAATATTTTTTCGATCAAATTTGTGTTTCCATAACCAAAAAATGAGAATAATTTTGTATTGTTAAAATTTTCACCGCATAACTTTTTATATGTTATAGAGATTGAGATTCTGAACGTTTTGAGCACTTATTTGAGATTTTTCGCTAGGTGAATTTGAAAAGACGACAATTTTTATCTACAAAAAATTTATTTTGACGCCTAAAAATAACGATTTAGTTCAACTAAAGCTTCATAATATTATTATATGCAATATTTGATAATTTGATTAAATTCTAAAAATATAAATTTTTGCTCAATATGATTTTTATTGTTTACCGTTATGACATTTTGGCACATTCTAAATTAAGCTTAATTATGTATTATTTATTACAATACATTAAGATGAACGTGGAAGTGTGATTGAGTAATAGCTGATCGTTATTACTATTATAGTATTGTGATAATAATGTGTGTAAAAAATAAATAAAGTGTGGTTAACCCATTTATTGGAGACTGATTAACATGTATAAGAGGGTGTGCTGACAAATTTTTTTTAAATACTATGGTTTGGTGTTATCATCTATCGATTCTCACGATACACTGTGGGATTGATAAGGAGATGATTACTGTGTCAACGAGAAAAAAGCGACAACTCTATTTATTGAGCCAACGATTTACTAACACTAATATGCAATATTGAAAAAAAAAATGTGATAGTCAGAATTCTTACTTGCTTAATGTGACTACTTAAATGAATATTATTGATGCATTATTCATATTACTACATGGATTTATTATTAACAATGTTACTAGTTTATTGATACAAAAAATATGATATATTCATTGAGTATGTTATAAACATGATATATTGAGCATGAGATTAAGATATTGATTTAATATTGATATAAAATACTGGATAGCATGTATACATTCTTATATGATTTTACTGCATTACTTTAATTTCAACGATCTTTATTGATGTTTTGATTTGATGATTTATCCAATTTTTGTATTGATAGTTATTACGGATGCCACGATTACTTTATAAATTTAACACTCATACCAATTTACTGGCTTCCATACCATAGTATTTTAGGACTATTTATAGATTCTACTATTATATGTGAATTTTATTATTTTTGCACTAATTCAATGATCATATGAATGCTACTTCTATGATTTGATCCTTGATATCCATATTACTTCTTCATAGTGATTTGAATTTAGTTGCAGGTTTTGGTGATCAGCTGAGCTTTTTATCTCGTTATATGTGGTTAAATAATTTCATATTAGGGCAGATGATCAGGAGTGTGAACTTATCAAGATTTTTTAGATTCTGTTTATTTGTTTTTGTTATTCAT